ATAATTCTATTATAATCATATCATATGATTCATATGTTTGTTAAAAATCTTAGAATATTTTCCAAATATTTTATGAAGTTCCTATATGATCTTATTAATAAGATACATAATAAGGTTTTTTTAAAGTTTGATCAAATAAAAATTAAATAATTTCTTGTGATATAAATAATATTTCTAAAAAATCAATCCTAGTATATGTATTTATAAGTTATAAGACCTGGTCGAAGTGGATTAGAAAGTTGAAAAGGGGATTAATTCTGTTAATTCCTATAACTACGTTTTGATAATCTTCCAATACAGCTGTCATCGTATCGTGCTGATATCTATCTGCTACATATCTGATATCTCAGTTATTAGTGATAAGTGATTACTTATACATTTAGTAGATCTGTAATATATTTAGTAAGTGACATTTTTGTCTTTTGACTTCCAGTTTCAAACACTAAAATTGTAAATATGTCAAATTATTTTTTCAACATCATAAAAGYAAACATTTAGTTTATCAAAATTTAAAAGGGATAGATAATCTTAAACAAAATAAGAGGGAAAGATGAAATATGTCTATAGGTACTTGAATAAAATATACCATCCCCGAYCCCCTCATTATTTCCCCTATTTCAATCACCGAACATAAATAATTTTAAGTCATTAGGTCTTACTGAGTTCAGTGTTTGGTACTAGTTTTGTCATCAGTGATTTGATAGCTATATTTTCTGCACCAACTAAAATGTTCACAAGAGGCCCTGTACACATGATTGAGTGTATTAAATAATGCAAAAATAATTCTATCAACGAGTTTCATTACTTACCTATATAGAAAAGGGATTCGCTGTAAGCGAAGATGTAGAACAATGCACTCAGTGTTTGGCTAATCGACGATAACATTCCTAATATTTCATCTGACATTTTCAATTGCTTACTAAGAACAAGTGAGGCGAATAGAATACCTTAAACAAAATAAATTTGTTAATATATCGTCCAAAATGATTTAACATATTAAATGTTAATATTTTTAAGATCTATAATTTTAAAACAAACCTATTATATTTATTACTAATTCATACGATGCAAATACACTGTATTTTACTTCGTTCCAATTGAATTGAACTCGTGTATATAAATAACATACCGTGTGATAACCTACACACGTATAAAAATAAGTAATTAATAAAATATACCATCATATACCTATAGTAAATAACTAAAATGTATTGTTGTTTGATGTTTTCAATGGTCTAATATGAAGTTAGTATAGGTACATTTTAGTAATGTATAAATATTATTAAAAAACATCTTAAATGATTTAATCGTCATATAGCTTATTTTGAGCCAACGAGGTAAATGGCTTTATAATATAATTTCGATAGCAGTAGGTACTATTAATTCGTTCACGTTTTTTTTTTGGAGTATCTGTATATTAACTTGATGTCACTTTGGCTTCTGTAGGTATATATACGCAAATAACACAGAATATTCCTTAAAAGGTTGATTTCCATACTTCAAAGTATACCATGGCTTAGTTTTTTGAAAAAAAAAATTGAAAGATATGTTAACAATTAGTATCTGTTTTAAGTTGAATAATTACATTCAAAATCAATATTTTATCTCCAAGATTTATCACACTCACGTATCGATTTTGATGAATTTTATCGAAATTTGAACTTAAAATGCATATAAAAAATAATCATGACGCCAATGTATTATCTATGAACTGCTATTTAAACAAATAATGATGAATCTTGGATTAATATTTCAAGCCTTTTTACAAAGTGAAAAAGTTTTTATGGACAATAATTTAAAAAATTTTTCTAAATTACTCATGGCAATAAATAGCTGAAAATATTATGTATGGAAGATGTAAATATAAATATTTGGTAAATATTTCGAGAGTTTATGCCTTTATGGTTATTATAAAAAAATATAGTTTTAGAGTTAAACCAAAAATAAAATTGATTTTTCAAAAATTGGTTTTGCGTAAAAATTTTCATTTTTGCTTCATTTTAAATTTTGACCTTCTGAAAGTACCAACTAGATTCATTTTTTAATCTGAAAAGATGCTGATGTCGAAAATCGGAGAATTTCAACTTCCCCTGATGTTGATGATAGTCAGAAAAAACGCATCATCGTAAAATCAATACACTTATAGGTACRCTCAGATGCTCAGAATCTGATATTATTATTATTTATTCAAACATGTTGTGTTGTCCAGTCTCAATTATACTAACCAGCATTTATACCAGCACTTGCCATGAATACAATTAGTAAAATTATAATTCTAATCCTTTGTTTGTTCGGACGTTTTTTAAAAGTAGTTTTGAATGACTGGGTTATGTGTTTGAAGTCTAAAAAATCTGATATGGTCGTCCGATATGATTTGTTTTTATTCACTTCCGTAACTGGCGTGACATCTTTGACAAACAATAATCCATACAACAGACCTATTATAATCAACGTAGATGATATACCATATGCTCCGTAGAATCCTAACTTATTATATATTATGCCGGACATTGACGTTCCGACAGCCATAGACACAGCCATAACAGCATTCAATGCCCCAATTTTAAATGTTCGTTGTCCCATCTAAAAGAAATGAAAATAAAATCATTTTTATAGTTCTAAATTATAAGTAGCTCTCTTATCTTTTCTAGGCACTCTCCATCGACTAAGATTATATATTTGTAAGTGACAGTGATTTATAAGTTAGGTATAAGTTATAATAAATAAAAATGTAGGTATAGGTATGTGTACAAATTTTAATTTTATTGTAACATACATTTTTTGTCTTTAGTTACAATATATTATTGTCATCCTTTAATAAATTGGCAATCTTTTTCAATTTTGAAATAAAATTGAGAAACCGTCTTGCTGAATACTTATATTAAACTAATTATTGGTATCATTGAAGGAAACAATTTTTATGACTATTATTCAATAAATATTTGGGGTAACTAAGAAAATATATTTCTGGGGCTTATCATGTATTCCATTCTAATCGATTATCGATAGGATTATTTATTGAGAAGTTAAGAAAGATAAGCACCGATTATAAATTTTGCAGCACCGTTGATTACGCTCATGAATAATTATTTATCTATAATGGTTAAATCTTTAATAGTATCGTACCTATAAGGTAATATGTGTGGCTACAACACGAATGCACAATTTTTCTTTTTTTGACCTGACTAATTATACCACGATTGCGCAAAAAATTTGTAACACGATTGCGCCCCGATCCTTTTTTACCTGTTAAAATCACAACACCATTGCGTAATAAATGATATGTKTATATATTAAATAATATAGTACCATATATAATATATACCATAGTATATGCTATGTACAATAATTTATGTAGAACATAAAATAATTAATCAATTAAATTAAAAATAAATAATTAATTCCCAATTTTCCTTATATATTATAAGTTATATTAAAGTCAATACACAATATTATTTGTTTTTCAATATTATACTATACATTATATCAAATTAAACGAGTAACTTTTTTCTGCATTGGTTGTTATTTGTATTTTAGATTCTGAGCGGAGCGATGAATGTATTGATTTTACCATGATGTGTGTTTTTATTTT